GTCCCCCGGGGCCCGGCTGCGAACACGGGGCTCCCTGAGAGGCCGGTGCCGCCGAGGTGTGGGGGGAGCCAGCTTAGAGGAGTCCCCACCCCTCTTCCTGGCTTTGCACCCTGACATAGCGCTTTGCAAGCCGTAACGACGTGTTGCTTGGGGCCATTAAGATTTGTCCGCTCTTGCAGGGCAGCTGATGCGTTTGGTTTGAGATGAAGTGCCCCGTATTCAGGCACAACGCCCGGTGCCCCTACAGGAATCCGCACCCCCAGTAACTGGCTCTCCCCCCTCCAGGTGGATGTGACAGCCATGGCGTGGCTCTTCGGCTACGTGGACGTGACTGATTCTACCTTCATTGCGGCTGTCCTCTCCATCGCCTTCAACCCGCTCTTCTGGAACGTGGTAAGAGCCGCCTGCGCGCTGGCCACCCCGTTATTTTTAGCCTTCCTTTGCCAGCTACGGGGGGATCTCTTTTGGGCGCCGCGTGCGGAACGGCTCTTTTTGGGAAGTTCTGCTGGGCTGGGTGGGGTGAGCGGTGTTCAGTTATTAGGCGTTAGGAGTGGGTGAGCAGGGAGCTGTGCTGCAGAAAGAACTCCTGGGGCTGGGGGTGACTGTGACGGGTGTCACAGAGGAGGTGAAGGCGGGAGCCAGCGCGGGATGCAGTCGGAATTAGAAGCTGAGCTTGGGAGAGGGGGCAGAGCAATCAAACCCGTCCTTCAGCCACCTCCTGCCGCAGCACCTCCCACCCCAGCAGCCAGGCACTGGTCACCACTGGGACTGAGCATAAATGGCATTAACCCCCCAGCGGGGGGGCCGCACTGGGTACGTTGCCCGCTGCTTCCCCTTGAAATACGTTGGCAGCTGGTTGTGTGGATGGCAGGAAGCAAAAACAGTCAGCCAAAAGTTAACCTGAAGAAATTCCCCCTCCATCATGCTGCAAAGTCTGGCAAAGAGCTGCAGAGCTGGCAGCCAGCCAGCCCTAAGCAGGAGCGGGGATACCTGTGCATGGGTGATGCTTGCTGTCCCTGCGGGCGCCGTCCCATCTGCTGGGTGCGATAGCACTTTGGGAGCTGAGACTGGAAGAGTCTCCGCTGCCCTTTACCGCTGCGGTTTGCTACCTCCCTGCAAGAGCAGCGGGAATCATTGCCGGCCCCGTTTTGGAGCGTTGCAAGAGCCAGTGTGCCAAGCGGGGAGCCCAGGCCGGCTGCAGCCCGAGGCGACTGGCACCCTGCAGCACCCCTCGGCAGCACAGCTGAGGTGCGGGGTGAAACCTCCCCGCGAACGTTCATGGGAACAGGATGTCATCTCAGCCAAGATTCCCAAAACCACCCGCCAAACCTCCCCGCAGGGATTCTCACCCTGGGGAAGTCATCTTAAAAAGGCCTTGTTTTTCCAGAGGGGGAGGACTCGGCGCTCTCTGAGCGTGGGGGCTCTTGAGATTGTCTCACGCTGGGCTTTGGAAAAGCGAGGCTCTCCTGGCTGTGAGTCACTTTGGAAACCTCCGTCGGAGCTCTTTGTTGCAGCCTCCCTAATTTTTCATGCAACTCATTATTAAAAAGTCTCACAGTGTCTGAAATGCGAACTAGAATATGCCATGTTATTTCGACTGCGGAGTCATCATTTAGCATAAGAATCAATGAATAAGAAGATTCAGGATGTGGTCTCGGGGGGGAGAGACCGGCTCCAGCGAGAAACTGCATAAAAGGGAAAGAAAAAAGTACTTTATTAGCGTCTGCTACTACGCCTGCGACTCGTGGGATGCCTGCAGCTTGGGAAATAGCGTTGCTTTTTGGATCAAGAGTTTGGCTGCTGTTAAAGGAGAGGGAAAGCTGATGTAACAGCAGGAAGTTCATTGCTCTGCGTTGCTGTTGTCCCCTTCCAGTGTTTGAAGAGCATTGCAGTTGGCGGCAGGTGGCACTGCAAGCAAGACGTGCAGGGCCTGCGCCTGGGAGCAGAAGGCATCTCTGCATGGGTTTGCAGTGAGCAACCTGAGCTGGTGTGTTGGTGGAAAGCTCTGGGGAGGTGAGCGTGGCACTAGATGTTTCCCCGGCTGTAACGGGCCAGGTGGCTCTCGCAGTCCGTGTGCCTCCGTCCATACGCTTGCTCTGCCCAGGCCCCCTGAGCATGTCCTTGGCATTTCCAGGCTCTGCCAGTCCCGGTGTGTGGCTCGCACCAGGCACCGCTGGAAGGCTTTTGCAGGGGGGCTGTGGGACCTGCAGCCCTGAGCAAGCCCCCGCTATCGGGTGCATTTTAGCAGGAGCGGCCCCAGCCATCCCTGGATTTTCCCTGACCTGCTTCCTTTTACCTCCTCCCCATCCTTTTTTGCCATGTGATCAGTGTCCCCTGCCTGCACCTAGCCAGCAGCTCTTCTTTCTTTCTGTACATCCCTGCACAGGCTCCCTTTGTCTTTTGCTATTTGACTTCCTTCCCGGCAGCTGAGATGGCTTCTGCATCTAAATTACTTTGGACTCGCAAGAGCTTTAGTGCGAAGACTAGATTTCTGTGCAGTGCCAAGCACTCTCTGCTCTCTGTGCTTAATAAATAATGTGGGACCGTGGTCAAAAACCCTTCTGTGCATGAAATTCCTGATTTGGGTAGAAATTGGGTGGGGATGCATTGATTTAGTTCAGTGTCTTAATTCCCCGTTTCTGCTGAACTCCGGCCAGGTCTGCCTCTTGCAAAGTTTGGCGCCGGACTGTCCTTGCTGTGCAGCGCCTCTGAATAAATATGTGGTGGGGAAACCCCGGCTCCGTGCGGGGCTTGGCCGATGGAGAGGCGCATCTCGAGGCCTCGAGCATAGCGAGGCGTTTGCCCTGGTAAGCACCAGGCATGTTTCTTTGGGACAAAACCTGCAGGGTTTGGGGACGAAGCACAATCTCTGAAGGCTGCGGGGGAGCGTGGCTCCAGAGAAAACCCTGATGCTTGTCAGGTCGATTTATGTACTTGGGTTAAGAGAGCGATTTAGAGGACCAGAGCCTAAGTGGGGCAATTTGCAGGACTCCAGCCGGGCTGTGCTGATGCTCCCTCCTGTTCTCCACAGGGGAGAAAAGCTCTCCAAAAAAGGCCTCAGGACTCCCGATTCCCACCCTCCTCCCTGCAGGCATGTGCCGGGGGGGTACCATGAATGTCGCCCCAGGGTCACCCGCTGCGTTTCCCCACCAAACCCAGGGGTCGCACCCCCTCTTCTGCTTCCCCCCCCTCCGTGCCAATTAGAACCCGCCCGTCCCCAGGTGGCCCCCGTGGCACAGCTTGGATGTGTTCCTGCACTGTTCTCTGTTTTTTTCCTTTTTTTTTTTTTCCGTCTCTCCTCCTCATGCTGTCTCTGCTTTCCCACCCGCCGCGGCTGTTACGAAAGGAGCTGCTGGGAGCCGCGATTCCGTGTGAGGCAGGGTGCAGGCGAGGCCCCGAAAGGCAGCGGCGGAGCCGTTTTGGGGATGATGTCGCTTAAAACTCCCCAAGGATGTTCAACGCAGCCGGGAGACCTGAGCCGCCGTGGGACTGTTGACGGGCACCCGGCGAGGAGTAGGCGCGTCGCTGGAGCCGTGCCATAAAACGTTAATGAGGTCAGAGCGGTAGAAACTTCAATAAATCCCATCTGTGTTTGGAAAGCTGCAGAACGATGGGAGAAAATTCCCATCCCTTGGTAACTAAGGAAGGTATCAAATAACAACTCCTCAGGGACAAACGTTTTTCAAGCCAGGAGAGGCAGATAACCTGCATGCGGGAGGCTTTAAAGAGCTCGCTGAGCCTTGGCACACGGGGAGTTTCTAGAAAGCCGGAAGGTTTCTGACACTCTCTCAATAGCAAAGAGGCAAATGGCATAGCCGTGAGCCAGGTAGTCTGACGTCTGTCACCACGCAAGTGAGTTTCAAGTGAAGAGTACATCCATCAGTGATCCTTGTCTTGATCTGAGCCTCTTAAAAATTTACGGCTGCTGTCACGGACCGATTTAGAAATGGCACATCTTCAGCTGCCGCCTGAGAGCTTGCTCCTCCCGTCACCCCCGGTGACCCCCTCGAGATACCCATGCATCTCGCAGGAGTCTGCAGGGCGAAACCTCAGATGTCACGGTTAGGAACGGGCTTAGCGTAATTTAGCGTGATTTTAAAGCAAATAAATCCCATCAGACGAACGTGATTTTATTCAAGGTTGCAGCTTTTCCTGTTCAGGGTAACAAGATCTCTGTTCTAGACTTCTGTCAAGTGTTTAAACTGCATGAGGTTTTGATTAAAGAACTAGTTGCACAGGGACCTGGGCTGACAACGCCTGGCTCCTGATGGATGTGTATCTCTTGGTTCATTTATTTTTAATTTCCCATCCTTTTCTCCCTCTTTGGAGACTAGAGGAATCTGCCAAGTGGATCAGAAGTGCTTGTGCTGGTGGGGAGGGAGGAGTTTGCAGGCGCTGGCAGCCCGATTTCACCTACCTCTGACCACTTCTTGCTAAACCCGGAGGAAGGGGCCTGGCCCAAAACCTCCCCACGCTGCTGGGAAGCAGCTGGGAGCTCGGGAGCTGTCGGGGTTCAGACCTCCGTGAGCCAAACTCTGAGAAACCTTCTGGGGGCGGGAGAAAAATGCCTGATGCTGGGGGATTTCAGCAGCTCTCGCTGTCTGTCTTGCAGAAGGGAAGGATTGAGCGGTAGCTTGATGGCGGTGTGTTAGCACCTCGCTGGGGAAAGGAAATTGCAGGGTAGGAAATGGCTGTGCGAGGGCTGGGGCGGGAGCGGCAGGCAGAGCCTCGCGGGGAGTACAGCTCGGTTAGCTGAAGTTTACAGGGTTGGGAGATGAACGAGTCCGAGTGATTTAGTGGTCTTTTCTGGCCTTCAAATTCTTCAAACCTGTGAGAGTTTCATGGGCTCCCCCGCAAACCTCTGCCTGCCTGCAGCCGTGGGTGAGAGCAGAAAAACAGCCCTCAACCGTCTTCTGGAAAGTGCTTTTAGATCCCGTTGTAGAATGCGACGATGATTATCTGCTTATGACAGATGCTAGATCAATAGCGCAGGGCTTCAAGCTATGCTGCAAGGCAATTGACTGCAGAAAGTGTTTCTTTATTGGGGTAAAGCTGGGCTTGCAACGAGGCTCGGATTTGCTCTTACATCTCCGGTCTTAAAATGTCACCACCAGCTCTGATGCCTTTCATCCTTTGTGCAGGGAGACAACGCACATTATTCGTAATTGGACTCTCTACCAGGCAGCAATAGCCATTTTCATTTCCTACAATGCCTGAGAAAGAGCGAGGATTTGCCTTTTTTTTTTTTTTTCCTCCCCCTTCCCCCAAACAGCATTTAGTGGCAATTTTATTCCGAGCGACTTGGTAACGCTTCCCACTCGGGCGGCGAGGGCTTTGCGGCAATGCTGTAATGCGTGCGGCGAGCGGACGGCATCGATTCTCCAGCCGTCTCG